TAATTTGTACTCGTGGTTTAAAATATTTAAATAAAATATTTACATTGATTTATAATTTTATTCATGTAATTTTTTCGCTCATTTATAATATCATTTATATAAAAACAATCAAGTGATTCTGATTAATTAAGGTGACAAGTCAACAATTAAACATAAATGATTTAATCTAATGAGATTTAAATGAGTAATTAAAATTGGTTAATAAATAATTAAAATTAATTTGAATCTTAATTTAAAGATTAAAAAATAAAAATCTAATTTTATTAAAAAACTAATTTTTTAATATGAAATGCTGATGTGGACATAAAATATGTCCACATCATTTTTTTTACAAAAATGGATTTTTCACGTCACATAATTTCGTAAATTGACTGTCATATGTAAAAAAATTTAACAAAGGGACCAAAAAGATGTCGAAATTTAAAATTTAGGGATTAAAAAGGGGATTTCTTTTCAATATAAGGACCAAAAAAAGGTTTTTTTCAATGGTATAAGAACCAAAAAGAGTATTTAACCATTAAAAAGAGGTGTTGTGTATTGCATAGTTTTATCTCTTAGATAGAGCTCTTAATATTGGGAGGTTTTTTTTTTATTTAATAATTTTTATTTTACAATAACATAATTTAAATTATAAAATAGTAATCTCATGAAAATTTTCACTTCTTTTGAAAAAAATAAAGAAATTAAGGGCTTGTTTGGTATAACGGTTTTGGGGTAGTGGTTAACGGTTTTACTTAAACCGCTAAATATAGGTGTTTGGTAAATTTATATATTTTGAAACCACTACAAATAAAGTATTTGGTAAAATTTTTATTTAGCGGTTTGAGACTAGCGGATAGTGGTTAGGATTCAAACCGCTAGTAGATTGAAAAGACTAGTTTACGTAGCTTTTTGTACCAAATCGTTAGTGGATTAAATTTTTTTAATTTTATTGACAAATTTATCCATTTTAATTTTTTAATTTGTGGTCACATTTTTTAATTAATAATTATCTAATAAATTTCAAATTTGTTTTTTTACATTTAATAACATTAAGTGATTATAATATTTTTTTACATTAATTCATAATTAAAAAATATATTATCTTAAAAAACAAAATTTGTTAATTAGACAAAATGATTAATTTTTTTATTTAAAAATAATATAATTTTTTAAAGAAACAAAAATGAGGATGTAATTACATTATTATAATTAATTTTATTTATTTTTTATTATTTTTATAAAATTAATAATTTTAATAATAAAAAATAAAAATATTTTAAAAAATACACTTATTTGTTTTTAAATATTTCCTTATTAGTCA